CCTGCTGTCCCAGTGACGTCACCGTCGGGTACTGCTTTCGTCAGCAAGTATAAGAGTTCTAGTGCCAAAGCGCTTTTCCAATTTTCCTGGAAAACTACTTTATCGGACATCAAATCTGTATATCACTAATCCACTCTACTCACTTCGTCCCTGAAGATGGAAACGTTGGAAACACTGCATATATGCACACGGCATAGAAACCCAACAGTGTATCTCTCATGAACAGGTAAACGTCAAATAGGTCTCTTATGGGTTTGAATGACATTGGCAGGCATGGGGAGACAAGACATGCATTCAAAACTTGAGTCGAAAACTCTGAAGATAACACTTCAAAAACATAGGCATTGATAGAATAATATTAAAATGGATATTACTGAAATAGCATGTAAGAGTGTGGGATGCATTCAGACGGCTCAGGGAGGGTTCAGTTATGGGCTGTTATGATCACGGGAATGAACATTCCATTTCCAAAAAAGAATGAGTAATTTATGTAGCAGCTGAGTTACTGTCGGCTTCTCAAGCAGGACAGGCGAATGAGCACTGCTCAGACCCTGGGTAACCTCCACGTACGAAACTGCGGTATCGAGCCGGCCACCTGCTGTGTATTCTCGCTGTTGTCTGTTTCCTTCTCTCTCTAAACGAAGAGATCCCAGCAGATCCACTGACCTGATTAGCTCAGCGGTAACTCTCCGGACTTGTATTTAGGAGATGTTCGGTTCGAATCTCGGCCAAAAAATCCACTATCTTGCCTGAGGTTTTCCTTCGTTTTGCTCAGTTCCTTCGGGCAAATGCTGGGATAGTACCTTAATCAGGGCATGATCGTTTCCTTCCAAATTCTTTCCGATCCATTATTCGCCAAGCATCCCACAATTCCGCGCTGTACAGTCTGTGCAGTTACTACCGGTGTCGTAAAGCAATGCGTAAGAATCTCATTGCCAGTAATTCTCCATCATTTCATTTCATAGCTTCATTCAGAATATTTTAATCCTACAGCTTTTATGCTTGGTTCCCATAGTTGGTTGAAGCACTATGCTATAACCTGGATGGTCGCGGGTTCTAGTCCCGATCAGGTGGATTTTTTCAATTGACTTAATCCTCCCAGCCACACTATGGCCCTCGGGTCGACTCACCCTCTGACAGAAATGAGTACCAGGAACATTCCTAAGGTAAAGGGCAGCCGGCGCTTAAGGCTGACAACCTCGCCACTATCTGTGACCTGATTGTCTAGAAACTGTGGGAACTTCGACGTCTCACAACACTACGGCCTACATGGTCTGTTATAGGGATAACTTTACCTTTTTATGTGCTTGAGTTTTTGTTGTTGGGTTGGTAGCCATGTGCAGTGTACACCCCTGTATAGTTTACATTTCCGTGGAAGAGGAAAGCAGAACACAAAAGCACTTGCGCGAAACACTTGAGCCAATGTGACCTGTACATCGAGTCTATCTGAGTGCAGTCGACAAGCAATCGGATATATTTCGACGCTCTTGTGTACCAAGGGAGAGGATAAATACGGAAAGGATTTCGTTGTCAGCACCGCGACGTCAGGCTCCGTGCGCCCGTCAGACTGTACCGGCCTGGCTCGCTGTCGAAACGGTAACTTCTCAGCATCTGGAGGTCATCGGCTCGAGTACTGGCCGGGACACCGCGTGTCTTCCAAATGTTTGCGTATTTCCTCAGTTTCCCAAGACAGATGCCTGGACGGTGCAGCTACTCCTCGCTTTACAAGGATTTCGATTACGAAATTTCGTTCATACGAACTTGTACAAAGAAGGGCATCCGTTCGGGTCGGATTCTCATTCGAATAAAAACGAACACGTGCCGACGATAGCGGAAACAAACAAACGCAACCCCGCCCAACCCGCCTTAAGCTCTACTCTCCTAACCCCACACGTGACAGTATTATGGAAACTCTTAGAATGATCAAATCAAGGAGGATGACGTGGGCAAGAATGGGGAGAAGAGGAATGCATACAGGATATTGGTGGGAAAGCCAGAAGGAAAGAGACCATTGGGAAGACCAAGGCGTAAGTGGGTGGGCAATAATAAAATGGATCTTAGAGGGATAGGATGGGATGGTATGGATTGGATTGATCTGGCTCAGGATAGGGACCAGTGAAGGGCTCTTGTGAACACGGTAATGAACCGTCGGGTTCCATAAAATGCTGGGAAATTCTTGAGTAGCTGCAGAATTGGCGGCTCCTCCAGAAGGGCTTAGCTCCATGAGTAAGTAAGTAAGTAAGTAAGATTAGGAGGAGTACCGGTTCTTCGCCCGGGGTGCCATTGCTTTCACTTCTCAGTATGACAAATATACAACTGTTAAAGCCCTGAAGAAGTTATGGCACTCAAATTATGAAACTAAATTTTATTCGTGTAACTGAAAATAAAAATGTTCAGTGCGAATTAGAATATGACCCAGAAACTCTACAGCACTTGCAGATTCACAGCCGTGAGTACCGTACAGACTGGTAGGAGTACGGAATAAATTTCATGATATCTTTCTGTGTTCTCTGTTAGGTCCGCGGTAGGATGCATTTTTAGGAGCCTAATTTCATAAAATAAGCTTATGCAATATCTACTCTGTCTGTGAATCCCCCCCCCATTAACTTTTGAATGCCTAAACCTGTCTTTATGTAACGTATATCATGATACCTGAGCCCATCTCAATGGCGTACTTCATAAATTCCTCCCATCAGTCTGTGCGCCTGTGTATGTACCCATCATATCTTTGCTAGGCAACGGCTAGGTAAAAGAAGTTACTGCGGCAACGAATACACACACAACGATAGAATAACTGTTGGACGCATCGTTTTCTATGCGGCCCGCATCGTATCAAATGACAGTAGACGAAAAGTTCTTGCCAGGATTTGTTGTAAAATTTATTATATGAATAAATTTATCGGAGACAAGAAAGCAAAGAAATGGTGTGCAGGCAACTGCAGAGCGTGTGAATGGTTAGGATGTCGTTAGTTTGTCCTATTTTTATGCATGCATACCCGTCGCTTCAGGCTGGCAACCCGTGTTTATCATTTACGTTTCACTGAGCTTCGGCAGATAACTTCTTTATGCTCTTTTTCCTTCGTAACACGGAGATAGGACGTCCCATTCAACAAGTAATTATTATGTCAATAGGAAAACGGTTGGGAAGAATGAGGCACGTGTTTGGAAACCTAAGGTGTCCTGTATTCCTAAGGATCGGTTTTCATTCATACGATATACAGTGAAGATGTTGGCCAACATGTCGGCACTTTGTTCCGTGACTAATAATGACTGGTTTTTAGATTGTAGGATTGGATTTGTTGACATCTTTATAATCTCTCGTAATCACAGTAAGTTATAGCGCCACCGCTAGACTAGGACACGCCCCATTCTCCTTCTCGTACACCGTTGTACTCCTTGTACTCTTCTGTACTCCTGCAGCTGAACACTCAGCTCAGTTACTGAACTGAACTTCCAATTATTGTTCGCCTCTCGTTATATAGACTCGGGTCGGACCTCATGGAAAACACATGTCACTTGTCAGAACGCGTGTTTATTAGCCCGTTATGCAGCACTGGATATGTTGCGGACAACGTAGAAAACATATCTTCTGTTGTCGGAATGCATGTTCATTGGCCCGTTGCCTAGCACTGGGCATGGCACGGACTACATAAAAACACTTTTTTCAATACGTTTTCTCTTGTTGAATGCGCGTATTTCGGGCGTTACCTAGAAATGGGTCTACATGTCACACTATCTTGGATAAATTAAAGCTGTTTCCTTTAAAACATTTTCATTTTAATTCCGCAATAACCGAACCGCGACAAATACTCGTAGCGCAGACACACAACACAACAGGAAGAGACGCCCAGCACCGAGCAATTCAGGGGCTACACACCGAATATTAGAATCACAAAACGGAAGCACAGCAGTTCCCAGCAACAGATTTTAAACCCCTGATGATGACCAATGTCGGTCGAAACATGTAGTGCAGTGTATAGAAGCTTTTAAATGAGGCTGAAATGACGGATTGTGTTTGTAAGAAACTTTCGAGTAAGGTTTAGGAGGGGCCGCGCCATAGCTCAAGCGGTTAGTCGCTGGCTTCCCACCGCGGCGGCCCGGGTTCGATCCCGGGTCTGGTCAAGTGAGATTTCTGGTGGACAAAGTAGCGCTGGGGCCGGTCACGGTAGCCGAGCGGTCTAAGGTGTGTACTGTCTTCGCTCGCTTGGAAACCGGAATCGTGGGTTCGAATCCCACTCAGCGCATGGATGTTTAGTTTGTGTGTGTGCGTCTTTCTGTGCTTGAGTGCAGGCAGAGGCCTTGCGACGAGCTGATCACCCGCCCAAGGAGTCCTACCGAATGTCTAAGATCTAGTAAACCGAAGTGAAGCGGAGAGTTTCATGGAGGTAGGCCTAGGCCCACTGGGGCTGTGGCGCCAATGGAAAAGAAAGTGGCGCTGGGGCAGGTTTCTCCGAGTACTTCGGTTTCCCCTGCCAATCTTCATTCCACCAATTGCTCCACAATCACCCTCACCTATCATCTGGGGCTGGTACAATAGGCCAGAAGTGACCGCAGTACAAGGGACTTAGTCCCACCCCACTAGCAATAAAAAAGAGGTTTAGGAGGGCGCGTTGCACGCGAGACCATGAACCAGTGACATCTGTTGAGTAATACGTGACAAAGGGACGATTCTTATAACTTCTTCCGTATTTATAATTTGCGGCAAATCCCGGTACACCTAGGCATAAACTTGGGGATAATATTAAAATGCATCTGAAATATATTATAAGGATGTTGGCTGGATTTAATTGATCCGGACAGGGTGCGGCGATGGGATCTTGTGAACAGAGCAATGAACATTCGGTTTCCACTGAAATCTTGAAATAGTGCTGAGCAGAAGTTGGCTTCTCAAGAAGGGCTTACTGGACTCAGAGCTCTGCAAACATTTCTGCAGTAACACCGATTTGCGCCGTATAGTCTGGAGGGGCTAGTGATCAGTGCAGTATCACTTGGACCCATTTGACATCTGCTGGGAAAGACCGGGTTCGAAGCGACGGACACCTGCGTAGCCCCTGCGGCGCACGAACCGATCTGTGAAGGCGGTGTGCTCAGTTCAGTTTGTTCAGTGTGTGACTGAAAGCGTTGCGGGGCGGACGTCCCGGGTGCAGTGGTGTGCTACCCCGCGCGCGGTGCGGCCTGTCTCTTCATACGTCACACTGTGCTGAATGTGGCAGGGGATTGAACAGAACCGTAACCCACTGGGGTACCGCTTGGTCTACTTCACTCAAAATTTTATTTTTTATCGTTTATTTGATGACGCCGTTAATTATAAGTCTGAGTAGTGAATGCATGAATTAGAACGGTATTGCAGATATGTTAGTGGCCTAATTTGAGGTAATATGCAGGCATTTGCCAGGAGGAACAACGGAAAACCGTGAGAAACTTAATCTAAAATAATCTGTGTCTGGGCTGAGATTTGAACATGCGATTTTCTGAATACGAAGCCGCGCCACTCGGTCCATGTTCTATTCGATGTTTATTGGGAATATGTGTAAAATAATTTAGTCATATGTTTCGGAAGAATTTCCCTGAACTCTGTTACATTGGTATATTTTGTTGCTTAAAAAGTTAATTATATTTGTTAATTCTTTTACAGTCTAGACGGGCTCACGCACCTAAACCGCAGGTTAAGCCAGTGCTGTAATCATATGTTCATTTAGTGATTATTTATGTGTTACAATGTAATGGATTTTATATCATGATATGAATACGTTTATGAGGGCTTATCAACCGTGTTTTATCTGTGTACACTAATTAACCTAATATAAAGGTGCGTACACTTCGCTGATTATTGTTTAAAGTTACGAAAAAATCTAAAGTGACCATAATTATTTAATTACAAAATGTTTTCAAGAGTGAGTGCCGAGAAAATGTTTTAACCAAGGACGTAGCGAGGCTTCACTCACCACCGAACATTATTTGGGTGTTCAAATAAAGGAAACTTATTTGTAATTTGTAAAATACATAATTTTGACCACTGGCCCTCAAAGAAAAGATCAAGCAGATGTGTTTAGAGGTAGAGCTCTAGAGTTTACATTCTGCATGTGCTCGGTTCGAATACCGACCGGGGCACCGGTTGTAAAGACTGAGAATTTTCCTGTATTTCCTCAGCCCTTGCGAGCTAATGCCAGGACAGTATTCCTAATAGGCCACGACCGCTTTCTTCAAAGTTTTTTTTTTCCAATTCTTTATCAACTAATCAACTCGCCATCCGACGCCATGACACCTGAGATACTGACGTCTTAGGCTAAACCGTAAAATCATCCGGATGAAGGAGATCTGTAGGTAGATGGCAGGATAATATTAAAATTTACATTGAATAAATAAGATGTAAGATCTGTGGGTGTAATTCAACTGGTTCAGGATATGGCCTATTGGTAGGCTTTTGTGAGCATGGCACTGAATTTTCAGACCCATTTGACTGTAGGATATTCATTGATAACTTACGTAAGTACCAGGTGTTCGTCAGTCTGACCCTGTACCATGGACTTCTGTGATAACCCGTTTGTTAGCTACTGACATGTACGCAGTTAAATATTTGCTATGAAGATACGTTTGATCTTGTGAGTATCCAAGTTACCGCTGTGTTATCCTCTGTGATAAGGAAAATATTGTCGCTGTCCCTATTATACGTAAAGAGAGGCGACATAATGCACAGATGAAAATTTTATAATTTTTCTTATCAGTTTCTTTTTGGCATTGACTTTTGCTGCCGTTGCGGGAACAAAATTGCGGTCAACATGAGATTTCAAAGGCATGTTCTATGCGAGGTGTTTATAATTTGAATCGATGTATCGAAAGACATTGACAACACGTATTGTCACCTGAGCATTTGGGTTACTGCGTCCATCACACCGATCTTCAGAAAACTGGGGTTGAAGTTTGGGAATCAGCTGCAGTTCACATGTGACTTGGCACAGAACACGTTCTGAAATCTCACACGTGCATGTAAACACATGCACATGTGTGGAGAACCGGAGAAGTGCATTATCGCATTTTCGCCCAGAAGGGCAGGGAGGCCACGCCAGTACTTTGACTAGCCCTTGAAGTATTTCCAAGCATATATTCGGTACATGCAAGGTGTGTCCTTGTAGAAGTTACACGAACTGGAGACATGGCTTCTGCCTGCTTATTTCCGAAATGATTCAATGGTAAAAAAAGGTAAAGCTACCCCTGTAACAGGCCGTGAAAGCCCATAGGGTTGTGAGGCATCGAGGCTCCCACATATTCTAGGCCGTCGGCTCACGTGAGGTTGTCAGCTTTACGCGCCGGCCGGCCGGCAGGCAGGCCTTTACCCCAGGAAGATTCGTGGTGCTCATTTCTGTTAAGAGGTTGAGTCGACCCCAGGGTCATAGCGCGGCTGGAAGAATTAGGTCAGTTGAAAATCTAATGACCACCTCGGGAATCGAACCCGTGAGATTAATGATTTCTATTGTAAATTGGGTACTACGGCTTGTACACCGAATGTCATAAATGGAATTATGTATTTTTTTAAATACCGTTTCGGTATTGCGTGCGTGAAGCTCAAACTAAACCGATTTTCGCAAAATTGGTTTACTCTCAGAGAAGTGTATATGTCGCATAAGACGAGGATCTGATCAAGGACCACAAATTTTATTTGGAACCTTTCTCGTTATGGTGAACACTTAGCCGAATACAAGGCAATAATTGTTCTGGTTCTATTGTTGCTTGTGGTATCTAAGCAACAGTGGGATCATAGCCTCAACAAACGATTATCGCGGGTCATGAGCAACCTACGACCATACAATTCACACTCTTAAGGAATATTGCGTTAATGGAGAGTTTTCGTAAAGAGAAATTTCATAACGAAAATCAATATATTCCCATAGACGCAGTGTTGTAGTTAGTGGCTACGTTCCTGAAGGGCAAAAACAAATAAAAGTCGAGACGTAAAGGCAACAGAAACATATCAGATTCTGATGTAACCTTTGCAAACCGAATTATGGTATAGAACGTTAAAATACAGCAAACTCTTACACAAGATTCAACCAGAGGAGACAGTAAGGCGAACTGATTCCGTGGTGACGTATTTCCGTTTCCAGTCGCATATTTTCGTTTTTGTTCGAAAGGCGTTTCGGAGGAGCGAGTTTGCTTTCCGACGACAAACCAATCCGAGGGTATATACGGTTCATTATAACATTTCGTACTAGCGAAATTTCGATATACGAAAGCTAGGATTGTCAGTATTTGTAAAGTATGCAGTATACTACGATTTCCCCAGTCTTATTTGCTTAATATAGCGCCGTTTGGGTTTCCAATTTCCGTTCCCCTGATAGCCCACAAAATCAGAGCCCATCTGTCCTAGTATTACTGGAGGCTTCTCTGTGACGAAATGTCCACTCGAACCGTAAGTGGCTTCAAAATGGGAAGCCAATGTCACAGGGGAACATGTGAAGCAGGCCTGTGGCCACCGGCCGTGTTTCTGCCGTGCAATTATATAGGCTAAGTTGGCCGTAGCCTGAATGGGGAGATGAGGAATGCATGTAGGATATTGGTGGGAAAGCCAGAAGGAAAGAAACCACTGGGAAGACCAAGGCGTAGGTGGGTGGACAATATTAAAATGGATCTTAGAGAGATAGGAGGCGATGGTATGGATTGGATTGATCTGGCTCAGGATAGGGACCAGTGAAGGGCTCTTGTGAACATGGTAATGAACCTTCGGGTTCCATAAAATGCTGGGAAATTCTTGAGTAGCTGCAGAATTGGCGGCTCCTCAAGAAGGGCTCAGCTCCATGAGTGAGTTTACCGTAGCCTGAGATGTAACGCGTGTATCTCTGTAGCTAAGTACTCACAGATTCGTAAGTGTACATTGCGGTGTTCTGGGACGTGACGCCGTGTAGTTTGGTAGATAGTTACTCATATGGATTCTTAGGTGTTTAACGACGCCGTTTCGACCGCAGAGGGTACGTATCATGGGTGAGGTTGAATGTGATTCAAGAATGACGAGGAAGTAAGGATTTGGAAGGCACCGATCCTGGCCTCTTAGAAATTGTGCCGCAAAATTCGTGTGGGGAGGCTGGTAAAGGGCACTAGCAACCTGACGGGATACACTGTGTTGAAGCCGAGGTTCAAACACCGGACCTCCTAAATAGGAAAATTAGCCCTAAGGACTGACCCACAAGGTTCAAGCGTGTGTTACCGTTACTATGTAACGGTGGCCAGATGAGCGGATATACCAGGCTCGTTTCTGGCAACGGCTCGGTAAACAGGTTCGCGCGGAAACTGTTAGCATACGAGAATGGACGGTGTTGTCTACGCGGTCCGTGTCGAGCTGTTATAAAGAAGAGAACTGGTGCAATGAAATCAGTCCAACTGAACACTTGCGTTCGTAGTCCTTATTTAACATCTTCTTTGGCGACAAGATGGGTCTGTCGTTTAAAATAACTGCTGGTCCTCGCCAGCGCAGTCAATCTCAGGTACGACTCCCGCGGGACTCATGACCATATTTTACTGTCTCAGATTCGAGACTCCCCCAACCTGGAGGGCCAGGTCCCCGTACTCGTATCCCCAGGAACAGGTTGGCCCTGTTATACCCCCAGGCACCAGGTTTCCTTTTCTTCGCCTCCTACAACTCGCTTGGCTACGGTGGAGGTGTTTGACCCCGCCTCCACACTGGACTCGGCCTCAGCTACCAGCTGGTTCCCGTTATCTAGACTGGACATTACAGGAAACTTCTCTTCCTTCTCATGAGACATCAATACCGGGTCCAGCGCGATAGCTTCTCCTGCTTTGCGTGCCTGTCAGAAGATGCGAACAATCTTATTTTGTTGTTTGTATCACATCACATCGCGTATGTTCATAGGCCTAAATATACAGACTGTGTTTTTTCTTTTAATGGCTTTTACGTTTACTGCCATTTTTCTTTCCATCTCTTCTTCCCGGTTCCTCTTTATGGCCTTATGCATCTTCATGTCTCCTTGGGTACTCATCTTATCTCTACACTTCATTGCAGAGTACATCCCTTGGTTTCTTATGCGTGTTCACAGATTTCTGAGGTCTAATTATCTCTTACATAATATATAAAGGAACTCAGTTCGCACCTCACAGAGAACATAACTCGTCTCCATTAGAAACGCCGATCGGTAATGCTGTTTTGGGAATCATAGGGAAACGTTTAAAGCAGACGGTATATGTGTTTTGCGGGTTGCAGCTGCGTCGGAACACGTTCGCGGTTGCGTAGATACGAGACTCGGGTGTGAATTTAGTGAACAAGAACAATATTCTGCTGGAATAAGAAGCAGGTGAGTCTTTTCGTGTTTATTAGAATTGCTTATTTATTGTCTGTCACATATTTAAATGCGAAAGTTACAAATGTCTGTTGTGCTCCGTGGTTTCAGGATCGGTATGGATTTGGACGCGATCTTGCCCGACGTAGGGGAGTTCGGCTCGTACCAGCAGCTGCTTCTCTGGTTTGTCCTTCTCCCCGGGGTACTGCCCTGCGGGTTTCACGCCTACAATCAACTGTTCATGGCAGCGAGGCCTGATCACTGGTGCCGCGTGCCTCAACTCGACGTATTAGCAAACATCAGCATTGAACTCGCGAAGAACATGAGGTGAGTGTGGATTTCCCTTGAACTGTTCTGTAGGGTACTGTACTGTCACGTGTTTGTGTGACTCTCGCGGGGTTATGGATCGGGTATTGGATTTATTGATCACTTATACACGCGACCGCCCATCTCCACACTTTACAATTCACCACAGTCTTTACCAGCCCGCAGTGTCTTCACCAGCCGCTCCTTGGTAACGGCTTCTAACAGTGAAAATTCAAATTCACAGGCCCCCTCTTCGACTAGAGGAGGGATCCGACAGATACAGGAAACTCCCCTTCTACAGGGGGTGACCCGAACAGTCACTCACTCACTCACTCACTCACTCACTCACTCACTCACTCACTCACTCACTCACTCACTCACTCACTCACCCACTGACCCTTTCCTCCCGCACTCAGGGTAAAATTTATTTTACGACTGACGGTTTGCCGTCAATCAGCTCGTCTTGGTTGATTTTTTTTGTAAAAAAACCCTTGCGGTCATAGCCCTCATGTAACGATGGGTTTGTCTCGCTTCGTCTTTGTCAAGTGTACGTATCGCACATACGGCACAGGTCTACACGGTCATGTGGAATTCCTTTCTTCCCGGGAAGCGGCCAGTCCGATGAAAGTGATAATTTGCAATGAAAAACCTCTCATGGGGCTTGAGCTGTGTCTCTGAGAGCAGAGCCACGTCTATATGTAAGTCTTGCAGCTGTTTACTGAGCTCATAGCGCTGCCTCCAAATCCCATTAGCATTAAATGCTATGATTTTGATTCCCCTTCCCCATACAGTCACACACGCCTAATTAGCATACATGAATCCAGTCCGTACCTCACAGGAAACACATTACGTCTCCGCTACAAAGCCCAACCGGTTAATGCTGTTTAGGGAAACAGTCACTGTTTACTGTGAGAACCATACGGAACACACAGATACATTCTGTGGGCAGAATATATAGCAACTCAGTCCGTACCTCACAGGAAATACATTACGTCTCCCCTACAACGAGCAACCGGTTAATGCTGTTTAGGGAAACTGTCGCTGTTTACTGTGAGAACCATACGGAAGACATAAATATACCCTGTGGGCAGAATGCAGAGTTCTTTTAATTAAAGCACCTAGTACATATATTTAAAGAGTTAACCGAGAAGACGACAATGTAAGGAGAGAAGGGGTTCACGCTGAATAACAGTAGAGACAGTGATACATCCAAGTTTGGTGCACCGTTCTCCGGAAGCTTTGGAACAGTTTGGTGATGTTGGCAGAATAATGGCCTGCGTGAGGCGGCCTATACGTCGCTACTAAATTACTTCCAAACAACAACCGACTTCCTTACACAGTTAGTACTGCTCAAAAGCGGCCTCCGTAGTCTAGAGGTAACGTTCCCACCTCATGACGCGTAGTACGCGGGTTCAAATACCCGGCGGAGGTCGTCGAATTTTTAAGGGCGGAAAAATTCAGGGAACAAGTCCTCCGGGAGGGACTTTAAGCCGTGGGTCCCGTGTCGTAGCTTTACGGCACGTAAAAGAACCTCATATCTCCAAAGGAGGTCACTGAGCCAAATTAACGGAAGTTTCCCGCCCAACAGCAGTCACTAATACCTCTGGTAGATGGGGGAAGCATTATAGATACCTCTCAACTAGTAGGGCCGGTCTCGCTGGCTGGGCGGGACTGATGGTAAGCACCAGTAACGGTAGGGTATAGAGACTGGTAGAAATCATAGAGGGAAGCACAATGGACCAATACAGGTCTCAGTGCATGGGGAAACCCACCCTCTCCAATAACTAACTAACTAGAACTGCTCAACCGTGCGCGCGTTGCAGTGAATGTCGCTCTTCCAGATTCTGCTTGAGGCTCTGTCCGTTTCCCGTCAGGTCATGTGACACTAGGACAGATTTTCTTCGAGTGCTTCGATTTTCTGGCTCTGGGGCCTCACCCAGCCTCACGTGCAACAGGTACCAGGAACTGTTTCCCCGGAGGTAAAGCGGAAGGGGCGTGAAGCTAATCACTTACCTTCATCTAGTACCGACCTTAAGAATAATGGAGCTAGGCCTCCACTCCCCCATACGTCTTCGTTGTAAGGTAAAGTTGTTCCTGTGCTTAATTAATTAATTAATTAAGCACTATGCGATGAAAACATAAGAAGTGGAGGTATAGCTCCATCATTCTTAACCTCGGCATTAGATGGAGGTAAGTAGTCAGCTTCACGCCCCTGCCGGTTTAACCCCCGGGGACATGAGGTTGGGTGGGCCTCAGAGCCGGCCTGGACTCTGTGGAGAAGAGAAGAGTCTTGCATTGCCGGGAATCGAACCCAGACGTCCAGCCCATAGCCCGTCGCTATACCGGGGATACGTTTCCTCTTTTCCCGACTGCTCCGTGTTCACCATCCGCTGCTGCCACAATACGCCCAACAGTGGCCGGGGTACCGAGAGGACTCCATTCCCCCCCCCAAGGAGTCATGCTGCTCCAAGGAGCGTAGTCACGTTTCAAAAGACAATAATTGCTCACCTCAAACAGAAACTCGCACCGAATTGGGTAGGCGTAGTGCTAGCGTCCTCCGTTCGTATTCGGAAAGTGCTCGGTTCGACTCTCGGCTGAGACGCTGGCTATCATGAATGATGTTTCTGTGCTCGTCCTCTGACTCTCCATGCAAAGGCCTTCACTAGGTGACGACGCCGGTAATACTCACTCCACGCATTTCCACGAAAATTACCCCCACGACGCTAATTATCCTTATTTTCTTTTTTCGTAGCTTCCTCCAGTTCTTCAAACCAATTGCAGGGATACTGCCTCAGACAGGCCACGACCGCTTCTTTCCACGTCCTCTCAGAATCACCGTAAACAATTCATGCTACCGTTCGACTGCGTGCAGTCTCCTAAACTAACCAAGAAAAGAAGTTGGACTCGGTTCCTCCCAACCCGGAAAGTTTGCTTATTCCTGAGATTTCCAGTTTCCAGTTTCCAAAGTTTCTGTCTGGACTCTGTGATTTCAGGTCCTTGCCTTCTTCCCTTTCCTGTACTGTGCCTCTCAGCCTCTCCCATTGACGCTTAAACAGTGTGTAAGAGTAAAAAAAAGGTAAAGTTGTCCCTGTGCTTAACTTATTAAGCACTACGCCATGAAGGCGTATGGGGGGAGTGGATGTATAGACCCACATTTTCTTAATCTCGGCACTAGCTGGAGATGAGTGGTCAGCTTCACGCCCTGCCCCTTTCACCCCTGGGGAAAAGGTACCGGTACCCCCGGTACCCATTTGATACGAGGTTTGGTTGATCCAAGAGCCGGTCTGGACGACTTGAAGGCCCTACCGGGACTCGAACTTCCACCCTTCAGTCGTTCTGCCCATAGCCAGTCGCTATCCCGGCACCTTAGTGTGTAAGAGCGCAGACCGAATTTGTCTGGCTCAGGTTATGGTCCACTGGTGGGGCTGTTGTGAGAACGTTAATGAACGTTTGGGTTCTGAAGAAAGAGGCGAGTTCTCTTGACAATCTGATCATTGTCAGGTCATGAAGAAGGGCTCTGCTCAATCGGATCCCTTGGTTGGCATCGGCGACGAAAGCGATGATAATTTCTTAATTGATCTGTTCCCTTTAGAGTTCCCACAGCCGGTTGTCACGCCGTATAATGCGGTGTAATTTTGCCGACGTTTCGGAAAATAATACTGCATCCATCTTCATGGTCGAATAGTTAACCAAGCAACCGGTAAAATGCAATCACAAAACGGAATAAGTCAACAATGAAAAGCTCTGTTTCTACTTTCTCAGTTTCTATCCTGAAGATAGAGGCAATATATAGCTTTGAAACACTGATGGGCGCCTCGTCAAACTCCGAGACGATAATACTGTGAGAGGGGGTCTGTTAATGCAATTTCAACTGACAGGACCTTTTAGCAGACTTCTTTGATGTGCATTTTCGTGGAATTCTGGGACGCTGTTGAGATGGTTCTCAGGCCGTCGGCCAACGATGAGACGAAGAGCGCGGAAGGTTGCCATCTTGGTACATTATTCAAGGTGTCCCAAGCTTACTTTTAACTTCTTTCATATTCACTGACATTAACTCAATTAACGTTTCTTTTTTTAAAGTTCCTCTAATTAAAAATAAACTAAGTCAAAGAACATTGAAGTCAGTACTTAACGNCCAGGTTTCTTCCTGGGGGGTAAAGGGTGGGCGGCGCGTAGGGCTGACAATCTCACCGCCATCTGTGAGCCGATTGTCTAAAGAATTCTGGAGTCTCGACGTCTCACAACCCTCTGGGCCTCCACGGCCTGTTACAGGGATAGCTTTACCTTTTTTTATTTACTAATAGGTGTCCAGTCCAGTTACCAGATTGAGAAAATATATAATTTATATTATTAAATCAGTATTTATAATAATAAAATAACTATATGTATGTTGACTTGTCTTTGTAGTAGCCTATGTCACAGGATGACCAACTTACAAAAAGTATAACACGTGCACAAACGTCATATTTATTTGTGGTTTAATTAGGCTGATGAATTTTCTTGCTGCATAATTCTCGTTTATTGTTTTGCTCAGCATATCTTCTTCCCTTACGAAAGAGACAAGACGTTCCTCCGAAACATCAGTGCATTTATACCTGACTATACCGCGTCACGTGCCCGAATATATGGCTGTTCAATTGCAAAGACGCTTGCTTTTTGTAATTCCCTTTTAATGCGAATTTTCTAGCCACAAACCTATTATTATTATTATTAGTGGGGTGGGACTAAGTCCCTTGTACTGCGGCCACTTCTGGCCTACTTTACCAGCCCCAGATGATAGGTGAGGGTGATTGTGGAGCAATTGGTGGAATGAAGATTGGCAGGGGAAACCTGCCTCAGCGCCACTTTGTTCACCAAAAATTCCACACAAACAGACCGGGGCTCGAACCCGGGCACCCCGCTGTGGGAAGCCAGCGACTAACTGCTTCAACTGTGGCGCGGCCAAGCAGAAGCCGAACTGTGGGCTTGCTTTTGGAGCCAAATTTTAGGGCTAATTTTGAGTCATGTCTTCCTAA